TTGCAAAAGAAACATTAATAATATTATAAACAATCATAAAAGAGATCCAAAAGTAGGAAAACATTTGAAATAAGCACATTTGATAAATAAAATAAGAAAATAGCTTAAAATAATATATATATATATATAAGTGTTGAGAAAGAGTAGTACGTTTGTATTACTTATTACTGTATTAAAGTTTTAATTATTAACAGAAATGTGAAGCTTTTAAATATAATTTTGTAAGATATTTCGTTCAAGAAACTTAAAAGTATTTTTGAACCAAAGTATTTCTATAAGTGCAATTTAGCAGGAGGGAGAGAGTTCATCGGAGTTCAGAAGGCAAACGAAAGAAATGAAGATGCCACCGCAACGAGGAGACTGCGACTGCGATTGGGCCCTCGTAGCATTTCATAATTTTCAGCCAATTATGCGAAATTGGCAGCGAAAACAAACAGACCTTGGGCCGAGTTAATGACATTGAATGGGGTCAGGTCCCAAGAACCACAAAAAGCTGAAACGACGAGTCTGAACCAGGGGAAAGATTACTGACAGCAATCAACAGTTGTGGACTTGTGGACTTGGGAACTTGAAGACTCTGCCGCATGTGAGTGTCACTCTGCCTCGTCCCAAACCCACCTCATTTTCCCCCTTTGGCAGTCAGCAGTTTAACCGCGCTTGAAACGAACAGGTATTCAAATCCGACTTTGTGATCACACTACCACGGAAAAATACTTAAGTCAGGTGAAACCTTTTGGAAGAACAAAGAAAATAAGTTCACCTTAAGATGAAGAAAATATATATTAAACAATGTTTTTGATTGGAAAAATAATAATTTATATTTAATGTTTAGTTAATAGTTAGAAGAAAATAATTCATTTTATGATAATCATCAAAAATTAATGTGAAAACACTTTAAAAAAAAAACATAAAAGATATAGTCAAAAAGAAATAGTAGAATAATTGTACAAATGTATCCACAATGTACGGCATTAAACAAGTACCTAGTCTATTTTATTTGGTAATTTATAGACAGATTTCTTCGGTCTAATTAATAATTATTAATATTTAATATATTATGTTTTTAATTTGATGGGATTTCTTTGGTCTTAGTGATCATCAAGGAAAATAATTATTATTAGAATATATAAATCAATTTTATATGTTCATTTTTAGTTAAGGATTATAATAAGTTTAGTTTCAATGTTTAATAATGTAATAATTTACATTATTTAACCTGAGTCTAAAGAACTCGAGTAATTTCTGTTATTACAATAACTTAAATGCATGTCTTTAATTTTCATGTTCATAAATCCGCTATTGAAATTACTTTGTGTGATCCACTTACCTTTTATCTGAGCATTCACCATCTTTCACCTACTTTTTCTCCGCTGATCGCAGATTGCAGCTAATTCGTCTGCTCAGTTCTTATCGCATTAAATGGCCACTGACCGATATATATATTGGATATACCCGCCGCGGGTTAGAGATCGCGATCACAGCCTCTCCCAATCACCATCCCAATACCAATCTCTCCCAACACGTGCACATCAAACTCTACGCTTTATAATTGGTTTGTCGAGCTGCCAGCAACCGGCTAAGTCGCAGTCTTAGCTTCAGATTCAGATTCAGTATTCAAAGCCCCAGCTCAAGCTCACTTGTCTGAGCAAAGGCCGAAGAAAAGAAAAGCCGGGCCGTAGACAGGCACTGAGAAAAATCTTGATCTTTATATGTACTATAAAATCAATAGTTTTTACCCGTTAGTTTAAATTTTATGCTTTACACATTAAATATAAATATTTCAGACGATGCATCAGATGGCTTTTAAATTAATATGAGATCAATAGTTTATGCATACTTTGTACACAAAGTTTCTATAACTTTCTTTTAACAAAACAATATCTCGCATAATGTTTCAGTATCAGAGGATGAAAATATTATTAAATCATATCTTTTGAAATAAACACAATTTTAAACATTTCTTAAGATCAATTCATTTTGTAAATTTATATTCAATATTTAATATTATCACGTCAACATGATTACCTTTATAGATATAAAATGAAAAAATATTGTTTATTCTAAATTTGGCGATAGATTTCTAAATCAATATGTTCTTTACAACTTTGACTTAAACATTTGTCCCATTTTTCCCCGGTGTGTCCAAAACCAACGTCAGACGATGCTAAGTGAATTAAAATAATGCTGCCGCTGCTGCCTTTCGCTGATGATGATGATGTTGTTGGTGATGCTGATGAGGCCGGGTCTCTGGTCTCCGATCTCGGGAACTCCTCTTTCGGAGATCCGCCAGGCAGCCACTCTGATGATTCTATTTATTACACGGCAGGCAATTTGCAATTTTCCGCTGCGTTTTAATTATTTGCCATGCCCGTTAGTTTTAATAAAGTTGCTAACTGTGAAAAGACGTGACTGCCGGCGAATGGGGCATTTAATTCGCACTCGCACACCCAGGGAAAGTGTCGGTCTATCGTGTCTTTTTTTTCAGTTCTATCCATCCATATCCAGTACCCACTGTCCAACTATCCAGTGTCCAGTATCCAACGTCCCAGACTCCGGAGCAGACATCTGATTAAAATCTCGGCGTGTCCGGCAGAATTTCGCAGAAAATTCTTACACGCAAACGGTGGACAGCTGAAAAGTTGCAGCGTTAACACCCATATTGCCACAAAAAGTCCCCAGATCGTGGGGCACTTCGTGCGAAATTTTATCACGCAAGGCATTCTCGAGTTGATAAGCATCTGCGGAGCCGGGAACTCTGCGAATGGGACTCCGATTCCAAATCCGCGATCTTCGCCAGGAGATTGCGATCGTCCTGCACTGATAGGCGACCAATGCGCGGTCCAAATTCACGCCCCACAACAAAGGATCAGTGATGTTATAGCTTGAAATAAGTAGAGCAGCGCTAAATATTGATAAGCCTACTTCCAGAATAATTTAAATAATTTTACTTCAATGGAAACAACTATTCTCTAAATTGTAACCCTTTAACAATTAAATTCATGTGATCTAATTGGCATAATTTTCAGCATCTCCTTAATAATTATTATGCTGAGTTTAGAAAATTTAAATATTTTTGTTTACGACAAAGCGAAGCAAATAAGTTAGATTGTTGTTTTATTGTTGTATACATTTTTGTGTTGAAATACTTACTCTCTAGATCTAAAAAAAATAAGTCAAATTTTATAAAATGTATATAATATAATATAAATATTTATATTATTTTAAAATAATATATTTAAGCAACAACGGACAAGTAGCCAAACTGGCAACACTCTGAAAATCTGCAGACTGGGGACGCCTTTGTCTTATCTCCAGCTGGGCATCTGCTCATCTTGCCCCATTCCACACGCTTCAAAATCCCCATCCATATCGCCACTTCTCTCTCGGAAATCTCAGAAATGGCAACTGCTTCAAGGCGCCGCAGAAAAGGGGCGTGGCAGGTGTTGCAGGGCTGGTTGTACGTTGCACGTTTTTTTTATTTTTTTGTACCGGGGGTGCCAAGTGTTTGCGCCAAGCGTTGATTGTCCTTATCGAAGGCACAGATCGTTTGGCCAGAAAAACGAGCAAAAGGCGACGCAATCGCATGCGTAGATGCTGCCTAGAGATCTTGAGATTGCACTTGCGTGCCAGTCTGGCAAAAGCATCCAAGAAAATAAAAAAAAAAGAGTGTAAAACCAAGAAAAACCAGTGCCAAGTGATGAATGTCCGTGTTATGCGATCTAATGATCTAGAAATGAAGTTAATAAATCGTTTAACCAGATGCCCCAGCTTTGGTCGACATCGGAAAAGAGGCTGCCTTGCTGCTTCTGTGGATTCCTCAACCCCCAGACATCGCAAGATCAGAGATGTCGTATTTAGCTAAATGCATGTGATATGTTATGCATGTTTTTATTTCAGAAAGCAAAAAAATTGTAGCTTTGATTTTCTAAAAACATGCTTAACATAACATGACCAAAAACCGAATTCGAAGTGATACACATCGAATATCTGTGCTTTAGTTTTATTTTTTTAATTATTTAAACAACTTAGTAAAGATATTAATTTACAAGTCAGAATCAAGGGCTTTTTGTAATTTTTATTAATAAGTGTCAAGCATAAGAAATGTTTGACTTATTTTTCAAAGTAGTTCCTCACAGTAATTTAGTTTCTAATGAATCCTATTTTCGTTATTTTTTAGTTGCTAGCATATTCTAAATTGATTTTTAATATTAAAAATAAACCTGAATATTAAAGAGAAGTGACCACTTAATGCACAAGAGGCCTTGCTGAAACTCTTATTTAGCTACCAAAAAGCCTATCGACCATCTCTACAGCACTTGCCCCGTTTGGCAAGTGATCGACCACCGGGACGAGCGACAATTTGCATAACTACTGTGCTTATGCCGCAAACACAACAAATTACAACGATTTTGCGTACATGCCGGGCGGATGGAAAACGAGGCGTTTAGCAAATATCTGTCTGCCTGTTCTGGCCTGATGTCCCATAACGGGAAAATGAAAATGAAGAGCAGTGCAAACAAGGCCGAGATATAATACCCAAGCCACATGGTAATGGACATAATAAGACCGCAACAAGACAGGCCAACATCAACTGGCATTATGCAAAGTATCAACAACAAATTACCTCAACATTCCACATTCCTTGGTTCTTTTTCGGTTACTTTTTATTTAGAAATTGCTTAAAGTCTAGAGATGATTATATTTAGGTGGTTGTGCGAATTGTGGAATTCGCATAGTGGCTTAGGCTAAATATAAATAGGCGGCAGTCGATTAGTGGTTGATCGGTGATTAAATGTGCAATTAGTATAGATGTACAAACTGTAAGAGAAAGAGAGTGGTATAAGTTTCATTTATATTTCTGATTTATAATATAACAACTTACCTAATGTATGATTTATTTTAAATTATACGCCACATACCCCAACGTAAGTAGATCTGTAATTGAACAAACGAAATTTGTTTAGTTTTCAATATTCATTAAACAAGTTTAAAATCTGTTTAAAAGCTCAGTTACTAATTTACAATCAAATCATTTCATTAGTCTAACATATGAATATAACATCATTGGGTTAGTTTTATGGTGTTTTACTAATAATTTATTTTATTTCTTACCTTGAAAACATTTCGAATTTATTGTTCCATTGAATTCTTTTCTGATGTAACTGCAAGTAAAAACAAAATATAAGTTTAGGGAAATGTTCAAGATTTCCAAGCAAATATTGAATAGTTGTTAATTTTATCAGTTACTAATTTACAATCAAATCATTTCATTAGTCTAACATATGTAAATAACATCATTGAGTTATAAAAAAAAAATTAAATTGTATTAAATTCAATTCTTACCTTAAAAACGTTTCGAGTGCAGCATTTGATGGTTTTGTCAGGTTAACTGTAAGAAAAAGAAATAATTAATTAACAACACTTCTTAGCATTTAGCAATGTTATGTTTATAGTTTTACATCAGTTAAACATAACTTTACGCTAATCATGATTTCTCATAGGTGTCCCAAGGTAAAATAGCTATGTCATCATTGAAAATACAGCTGTTTTTGGTTTACTTTTTTTTTCCGCAGCTAACAAATTAAATTTAGAATTAAAACCCACCTAATCCAAAAAAAGATAGTTTCCCATTGGGCTTCTGTATTTTTGTCTGTTGCAATCTGAAATAAAATACAAAATTTAATTAGTCATGTTTTTGAAGAGCTAAAGACAATGTTAATTTCAAATGACTTCAGTTTATAGGTTTACACGAATCAAGGCATTTCATAGGTGTCCCAAGGTAAAATAGCTATGTCATCACAGAAAATACAGCTGTATTTCGGTTTATAATTTTTTTTTCAGCAGCTTAAGAAATTATATTTGAAATGTGAACCCACCTAATCCAAAAATTATAGTTTCCCATTGGGCTTCTGTACTTTTGTCTGTTGCAATCTGAAATATAAAACAAATTTCAATTAGTCATGTTTTTAAATAGATAAAGACAATGGTTTTTTTTTTAAATACATTCAGTTTATAGGTTTACACGAATCATGGCATTTCATAGGTGTCCCAAGGTAAAATAGCTATGTCATCACAGAAACTTAACAGCTCATTGTATATACAACCAATCCAACTCACCTTAGAAGGCATATCGCGTGCGTATATCCTCCAGCTTTTTGCAGATCTGATTTGGGGTGCGGAACATATCTCCAGCGATGCTCTTCTGCTTGGCTGCCTCAATGGACAGATACTGCTCGCAAAGATCGCCATCCAGAACGTTTTTCACCGGGTAATACGAACTCCTGTAGCTGAGATGATCGCGTCCGCAGAGCGGTGGATTCTCATTGCGCATATGCATCTCCAGATGCTGGAAAAAGTCGTAATCCTCGCGACTGGTAAACGGAACAAAAGCGCCCACAGTGCCGCTTAATGTGGCGTAAATAAGGGCCTCTGATCCGCCGGGAATTAGAGTAGCTTTCTGCAGCGACATGATGATCTCGCCCACGTGGAAAGAGCAAATGTTCTCAGACTTTTGCGAGGCACCAGACAACAAGCCACGATCCCACAGCGATTTAGTGCCGGTTGGATCCTCATCGACGTCATCGGTCACCGAGTGCGGCAATCGCTGAATGCTCAAGTTGCCAAACTTATCGGCAATGGCTATGGTGTCGTAATCCAGCAGAGTGGTGGCCGTAACCCAACGCGGATGCGTGTCATCGGCGAATATGATCAACTGATTCTCGGCGCGACGATAGCGTATGAAGAATACAGATTCCTGAACATCAGACACGTAAACGCGATGACCCATCGCCTGGATATTGACAATCTGATACGGAATGTGTTTGTTCTCGCACTTGCGCAGCATTTTCTTCTTGCCATAATCATAAATCCGCAGCATCCGTCCGCAGCCGGCCAGCAAACGACCCTGGAAGCCACACAGTGCCCCGGGAATCTCATCGATCTCCGTGCGATGCATAAACTCCAGACTCGAGCAGGTGGGATCTATTTTGTAGATGTCTATGCAGCCGCCCTGCGAAATCCTCGGGTTCAGCTGCAGATCCTTGGCGATTCCCACGGCCAGATAATACCGGCCATCGGCCGCTATGGAGAACTTCAGCATGGCCATCGACATTATGGCCTCGTTTTGGGTGAGCGGCACATTGAACATCGTTTGGCCGTGCATGGCATCCAGGCAACGGATTTGCGAGGCCCAGAGACCCAGACCCGCTTTGGGTGACGAGAAAACATCCTCGGGCAGGACTTCGTTGATGAAAGCATTGGCCATTTCGCGGGCCAACTCGCGCTCCTCATCGCCCGCCGCACTGCGCATCTCCTCCGCCATCTGCTCTTTGCGGGCACTCTTCGTATCCTCCGTGTAGGCATTGTGATCCGTTTCCGCAATCAACATGCGACCCGTATCCGGGTGGATAACAAAGGTTCGCGGAGTGTATTGCAGGGGGAATGCCACTTGATTGAAGACCGCTCCCAGTTTTTCCAAGGCCAAAATCCTCAAGGTGTTTGTGGATATGGCCACAATGCCTTCGCTGCACTGCTCGCTCGAGAAACCAGAAGCATACTCCAGCGTTTCATAGGACAGAGGCGTTAAATGGAATCTGTTTTGGTGGTAGTACGACAACCAGGTTCTACTCGACATGGCCAACACTGCTTCGGCGCCCTGCATCTTGATGCGGAAGAGCTTGACGGGCCGAGAGCCCAAATACCGCGTCCTGGTGTCGGCCAAATCTCCGGACACCGGATCGAGCACAGTGCGCAGCAGGACGCCGTTGCTCAGGCCAATGTTTAGGTAGATTGTACCCTTGTTGCTGCCACTTCGCTGGGCGGGTGCATCCTCATCCAAAGTTCCCTGGGTCGTACTCTCCGTGTGACCCATTTCCACCAGGCAGAGGGATTCCGCTGGCGAGGGTAGCGCTTGCATGGAGCAAGGAGTCAGACAGTTGTTGGGATCCAGCGACAGGATACGCACAGTATTATCAGCCAGACCAACGGCCAAGAACCAGGAACGCTGCTCTCCCTCTGGAACAGTTCCCAGAGCCATGCACATGATCTCTGCCGGCATTTCAGAGCGTTCTGTATACTCATTTAGCTCTCCAGTCTGTAAGGATAAAAAAATCCTAATTAGTTGGGTTTTTAATTTAAGTTAATTGCTTTTTAGGGATTTAAAAGCTCAGCACTGCAGGACACATAGTGTCTCAACATGATTGTTCTTTTCGTGTTTTTGTCATCAGAGCAAGATATATTCAGGGTGTTTAGTTCAAATAACATATATCAGGGGTGCTTAAAACTGAATTAGGGCAGTGCATTTGTCAACACAATGAAAACAAAAAACAAATATGGTTTAGCCACAAAAAAAAAAAAACCAGAAGAATCTACTTGTTATTAAAAACAGTCTTTTAATAAAGGACGTTTTTATTTATACAGAGTTTAATGATTTCAAAAGGAAAAATTTGCCACTTAACTAAACACCCTGATTAACTTATAAAGTGCCATCACAGAATTCAATGCTTACCGGATCCATTTCAAAGTAGACCAACTCCCTGCCCGACAAGGTGATGACCACCTGGCGCTGATTCACGGCACACTTGGTAATCGACTTCTTGCCCGGGGCCTTCCACTCGTTCACACGTTTGTCGGATCGAATGTGGCGAATGCCATCGGGATATACCTGAACCAAGGCATCATCGCCCAAGGCGGCACAACACAGTGTGGGTGTGGTGCCCAGGAAACCACTGTCTGTAACTTCCTCAACCGTTTCGCCAATACTCAAAACGAGAGTGGCATTCACGAAGGACACGATGATGTAGGCATCAAACTCGTCTAAAAGTAGGGGAACAAAAGAAAACTTAGACCGTGAGTATGGAACACAAAGATAAACCATTCAAAAATTGTTGCCTATCTTTGGAGACATTGAATAATCAGTTTATCAAGTTGTAATCAATGGATAATTCAGCTGAAACACGGTTGATAAATATCGCATCATGTTCAATGTCCGACTGGCTTAACTATAGTTTTGTATTTTGTTTTTTTTTCGAGTAGTAGTTGTTGTAGTATCTGTTTGACTTATGAGCTGCATTAAATGTTGCCTTACCTATCGCTTCACAAAAGACAATTTAAATTTTACACAAACGAGAGAGTAAATTCTCTATAATCGCTTGTCTTTTTCGATAGTTCACACATGACGTCTGTGTTTAAGCGCCTGAAATAAGAGAGAACTGGTGGTTGATAACTTGTGGGACTTGTTTGGAGAATCGTGTGTAAAGCTAGATGTAATCTATATCTCGATCTGTATCAATGCACCAGTTGAGTTATTAGCCACATTTCAATCTTACGTCTAATCTTAGCTTAAGAATCATGACTTTATGAGAAGCATTCGAATGGAGACTCACCATCAGCTCGTTTTTTCACAGTCCAAACAGCATTGGGATTACCGGGCAACTCGGAAACGGCCATCTCGGAAACCTCCAAACCGTGACGAAGCACTCGCAAAGTGGAGCGAGGTCCTCGTCCGCAGAGGACGTACAATTGCGGTGTATCCTCGTTGGCAAGATCAGCCACCTGAGAGGTGATTATCGGCGCAAACGAGGGTAGTTCGTCTACCAAAACCAGGTTCTTTAGGGCACGTGGCGCAAAGAAGAAGGTCTCACCCTCCTCCAAAGGCATGGCTGAACTGAACTCTGGCTCATCGTCATCGTCGCCCAGATGAGCAATTTGGTAAAGGTAGCTAAAAGTTGAAGAAAAGAGGCATTTAGTTATGATTCTGTTAATCACAAAATAGAAAATGAAAGGAATTGGTAGTAAAATTGACAATTTAGAACTTTCTTTATAAAACACTGTAATAATATTACAATATGTTTTTAAGTCGAAAAATAGTGTTATATTCCAGCATTTTTAATGGGAGAAAAACATTAATATTTTTATGGAATGTCAAAGGTTTTGAATATTTTAAAGACAAAATCTGTTAAAATAAAAGCATTGTTCTTTTCATTATTATCTGAGACCATCTTAAAATTCTTTAGCCACTTGTAAAACCCCTCTGTCAATGTATTAAACCCCTCCTCCTATCAATTTCTTTACAAACTAGATACTTACTGGTTGCCAAACTCGCTAGCCACAAAGAGGAAACCCGTCTTTAGCACACACATAGCTGTTGCTGGAGGCACTGTGTCAAAGTACTTCAGTTTGATCTCAGACACTACATCGTCATCGGTTTCTAGGGTGATCTTGAAGATGTCTCCCTGCTCTGTTTGCAGCAGAAAGAAGTACATGCTCTTGGTGCGATGTGTGGCAGAGCAGATGAAGATCATGCCCCTTTCAGGATCATCCAGATCGTTTCTCCTGCGCGGAATGGGGCAACGAATGTCGTGCTGATCGCCGAGATTCTTGTAGGTCAGATAGTTCTCCGAGCAGATGAGCACGCCCGAGGGGCCATCGTTGCCTCCAGGCACAGAAACCAAGAAGTTGGCGTGCTCCTCCAAGGGTTCAGAGTATTTGCGAACCACGTGGTTCAAGCCGAGATCCAATTCGTAGAATGTCAGCGTTTGCTGTGTGCGCTGGGCGGCATCACCTGGAATAAATAAAAAGGGGTATTGGTTAGTAATGGTGTTCTTGAGACAGACTATATTGTAAAACATTTTTTAAACCCAATTTTGACTATCAATAGCATATTTAAATGTTTTCTGGGTACAAATTTCAAACGAAACTAAGAACAATAGCTCAAATTTAGACATCATTTCATTAAAATCTAGTTATTTGAACAGACTATAATGTAAAATATTTAATAAAACATATTTTGACATTACAATTTAAAGTTTTTTTTGTTAAATATTTTATACTCTTTTTTAACAATCAAAATATATTTAAATTTAAAAGTGTGGGTCACAAATCAGTGAAGTGTGGCTAGGTAATTACAGCAACACCAATGGTTCAGTGATCGCAATTTATCTGGCACTAACGTATTCAGTGTTCGTGGTTAAATCCACTAAACCTGTGAATTAAAGCGCCTTTTGGGACAATATTATATTAAAGGGTAATGCCCACCTGATGGATCCATGTCAGCCTCCTCGTAATCGATCTCCAGACAGGCAAACATCGGATTATCAAAGCCCACATCCACGCCCACCATGTGATATGTCAAGGTATTCGATTTGTGGGCCTCCAAGGGCGATGAGATCGTCAGACGAGCCTGCGTATCCCGATTCATGATGTAGGCCAACTTCTGTTTCTCCACGGCGCCAATCATCACGGCTCTTCCCTTGGGATCGATGGCAAAGTACTGGCCAGGCACTATCCTTCGACATCCCGACTTGCCAAAGGTCTCCTGGTGCACCTTCTCCAAAGCATTTTTGGATGGGATATACTCAAGAATCACAATACGACCCGAATCGGAACCGGCAACAATGTAATCTGGAAATCATTAAAGTTAGATTTAACATTAGTCATATATTTTTAAAATTTTTTTTACATATATATATATTTTTACATATTTTAGGTAGTGTAACTCGAAGTTTCAATTCGCCATTCCGTTGAGTTGGTTTATGGCAAATGCGACGCCAAGTCTTTCGTTTAATCTCGCACTTAGACGTGTTTTTAAAGTCTTACTGGGGTCAACTAATAGAGTGTTGCCTCAATAGGGATTTGTGCGGCTTGGAAATGTTGTAAGCTTGACTTAAAAATTATATATATTAATTGGGAGAAGATTGAACGGGTTTAAAAGGAAATTTTAGAGTTAACCAAAAATAGATAAGCGAAAAAAAAATGGTTCCCCACGTGTTTTTTTTCGAACTCTTTGGGTTTGGTAAAACCAGATAAAACACGTGTTTGTTGAAATAAGCATTGATCTTTAAAATGTTTCTTGAAATAAGCATCGATCTTTAAAATGTTATTAGACTATGATAGTAAACTCCTTTAATGTTTTATTAATCGTTTTTTGTTTGACTAAGAAAATTTAAATTCAGTTTTATAATAAACTTTTTTGGAGTCCCATATGGGTTTGGTATTTGCAATCCAATTTCAATATATTTAAAGAATTTAGAGGTAATTTAGACCTTACAAAAATATATACCAAAATGTTTATTTAGTAAGATATTATCTTATTAATTTATGTCAAAAGTGTATCAAAAAGTGTCTCCCAAGTAAATACTCTTTTTGAAGTACCAATTGGGCTTAATAATTTTCATGTGAGTTCGAAATATCATTTCATATTTTGGGTAATTATCTAGACCTGATAAGTGCAGTTTCTATCTAGCCCTATCTTTAAGACTAAAAATATAACCTTAATAACAGCAAAGCTAAATATATTTTGTTCAGATGACTCTCCCAAGTAATATGTTATATTATAGTGCTTAAACCTCACCTTTAGTTCCGCCCGTGAGACGAAAAGCCATCAAAGCGCGGATGCATCCGAAGATCTCCGTGGAGAGGAGCGTGTGGACCTTTCCCGTATTCGAGTCCGGACGGAGGAGCTCCAGCGATTTGCCACGTGACAGGAGAACCTCCTGCTGTTTTCCGCCGGAGAAGTTGCCATGCACCGCGTGGGTCACTCCCGTGCCCTTTTGTAGGGTCAAATTGTACAGATACATAGTGTTACACTATACCACTTTTACTCTATTGCCCCAAAACTGGAATAAAAGTACAGTTTGAGGTTAGGTACAGTCGCCGATGGAAAGCCTCTTAAATATCTTTATATAAATATATATTTTGTACTACTTTGAAAACCATGGCCACAGTATTGGAAATTCGTGTCGCCTAACGATGCTAGTAAGCAGCATTTAATTTTTAGTTTAGCACGCTTCAAATGCGACCAAAGCACAGACATTTCTGATTTCTGGAGATACTTCGTGCGGAAAATCCATTAAATACCAGGAGCTACTATTAAAATTGGTTTTATTTGTTTACCTTCTGCTGGTTTAACGGGTGACTTAGCACATTTCACCAGCGATGTCTTTGGATTAGAATTTTCTTGATTACTCAGGTGGCGTCATTTTCACTTTTTCAGTTCCACATCTGGTCCGGTCGGCGAAAAAAAGTAAAAGAAGAAGTGATGGGAAAACGTCGATGTCAACACGTTTGTCATCGATATTTTCCAAATCTCGGCCCTATCGATGTTTGGCAGGGACTATCGATGTTTATCTATCCAACTCTCTCATTCTGTTAGTTCGACGTTTGGCTACCATTTTTCTGTTAGTTCGACGTTTGGCTAACATTTTACTGCAAAACACAAGCCTACCCACAAGCACGCCAAGTTTTGGCGCCAAAATTTGTGCACATGCATATATTCTACTGTTGATGTTGATCTTCATTGCATATATATGTATTGTGTTAAAGTTCAACATACACGAACCATACATACAGCACAAATATATATGAACAATATTTGGCGCCAAAAAAATTGCGCAAAGATTTAAATAGAAATGGCGGTAATAATAATTTAAATTTACCGTAACTGTAACCGAAACAAAAAATAGTCGAAATAGTCATATTGGTTGTAACTGTAACCGAAATCGATATTTGATTTGCTTTTAATCCCTGGTTGTAAATAAATAAAAATTCCTGTCATAGTGGCAAAAAATAAATATACAATTTGCGGTTGGAACTAAAAAACTTAGAAGGTTTACTTCTAAGATGCCGTAGTTTTTATTACCACCAAGCTATCTGTTAATAAACACAAGCAAATAACAAATTTAAAAATACAAAACATAGAAAAGAAATGAATACCTCTCTTAGAAATAGTATCGTAGTTTGAGCAAGAATACCGAATATCGATAGTGCCCATTGGGAACTGTCCACCTGGAATAAAAAAGAAAATGCAGTTACTAGTGTTGTGAAATCCGCAATTTCGCAGCCATCTTTGTTTACCAAACTGAAACAGCTGACAGTTGAAAACAATTATTTCGTGATTTTGTAAATATTACTCAAATTTAAAAATGGAGGAACAAGATGTTCAAGAGAAACTTTACGAAGAGGCACACAAGAAAGTTAAATTGGGGGAGGAACTAAAAAAAGCGTTAATTGACTTTGAGGACCTTCCCGGAGTCAGTAAAGTGCAGAGAAAAATTCAACAGGAACTCAAATTTCTAAATAAGGTTTGTTTTTTCCACTATTCTGGAAACTTCCACTAAACAAGAAGTTTTCTTGAAGGTGATTACTACAAAATCGGTGAAAGAACACCATATAACAAGTAGTAACTTTGTTTACTATGATTTTCTGATTAAAACTCTGCGTTTGCAACAAGGAGTGGTGGACATCAATGCCGTTTTTCGCCTAGAATCCCGAGATAATCCTTTGCGAGTTGACATAGTGGCCAATAATGGTCTCAAATGGGTCAAGGTGATAGCCAGGAACTCGAAGTCCGTTGAGGATGCGGCCAAAGGATGTGTTAGCATCGGGGCGAGGAGCGTTTTGGATCAGGCAGAGGACTACTTAGAGGCTAGTGAGCTCAGTTTCTGCATGTTCCAGAGGCCCAAGGTGGGTAGTTATCTTCTTTGTTTACTTTACATTGTTCCACTAATTTTATGTTAACCGCACCAAATTTGAAATATCAAAACTCATAGAATTTATCCTCTTTCAGATAGTCTTTTACTTCTCCAACAAAATCGAGGATTCTCTGCATGAAGAACTTCTAGAAATGGGCGTGCAAACGGCATCTTTGGAATCACCAGATAGTGATTTGGATCAATATGCCACCACCTCGAATGAATTGAATCTGGATGTGACCACTCTACTGGCCTATGTGAGTGCACTGACCAATGGATCTGCCAATTGGGTGTACAAGGAACCACTTCTCACCGAACAAGCCGAAAGGGAAAGAGCCTCGCCACTTAAACCTCTGCTAGAGAAAATTCTAGAAGGAAAAACCTTAGTTTGCTGCCAATTAGCCTACGATGCCTTCCAAAGTATCCTAGATATTGTGGGGGGCGAGGGCGAACGAAAACGAGCCGAGGAGCTGATGAACAGGGTAACCGTTTTTCCGGATGTGGAAAATATACCCGAGGAGTTCTCCCACATACGTTTCACTGCCAATGTGAACGAGCGAAGTCTCAAAATCTTTAGTTTCGGCATGGCCAGACAAATTTTCACCGTGACTTCGAACAAGGCTTTTGTTAGATCAGCTAAAATGCAGGTATGTATAGCTATTTGATAAAATGTACTTTTTAAATTTTTTAATGATCCATGATTTCATTTAAACTATTCTATATTTTTTATTATATTTTGCAGGGTATCAATGTGCCTGTGTTTGTACATGCTTCTGTTGCTCTTACAGAGGGAAAACAGGCCACAGGAAGACCGCTTTAAAAGACAATAAATGTTAACTTTTTAAATATTTATTATGTGATTTTTTTTAAAACATTTTGAATGGAAATAAATTTTAATCGTCAAATTTTGTGTGTTTTCTGCAATAAATATTAAATCCGCAAATAATTGATTTGTTTTTATATATTTAAAAACGTGAAAATTAATTTGATCGATTTGAATTTGATAGGCTGAAACTTATTTAAATCGATAAATTGATCTATCGATAGATTTGGGGACAGAGCTGCCATATCGCATGCGGAAAACATATGTAAACAAAAGAGAAATTTGGGGAAATTGCGACTTTTGTAAAAGAACAAACATTTTAATAGCTTAGAACCAAAAGACAACACATTTGGATATTCGTTTTGTAATATTTGAGTGGAAGGCATATAAAAATACATTAAAGGCAAGAGGTTAACTTAAAATCCAACGAGAAAACTGCAAAAAACATGGACTGCGCACCACTTAATTTGGTAAGAACTCAAATAAAAGTTGTATTTTGCCTGTAAAAAATGTAATGTTTATGTTTCTATAAAGGCTCATTTCCACGAGCGCAGATCAGAGCGTTTTATACGCAATCATCGCTATGAGGAGGCCATAAAAGCGTTGGAGACTTCCCTAATTTACATGCAGGATGCCCAAAAACGAGTGGCCCTGCCAAAATCCATTGAAGTTCTGAACACATTAACGTTGGACTTCCAGCGAAAACTGCGCCAAATTGAGATGCGGAAAACACAGCATGGCTTAAATAAGTTAAAGGACTTTGCTCCGTTAAAGGAAACCAGTCCTATGTTACCATTGCGGCCGGAGAATGGATCAAGTGGAGCCGGAGGATCCGCGCAATCGGTGGCCAAGGCAATTGATAAAACAGTCCAGGATTTCGATGCCAAGTTTACATCGTCTCTGGTGATAAAAGTCCCCAACAATTTGGCCAATTCGGAGCCCCAAATGGAGACGCTAAGAAAGAGTGATCCCCTGAAGGATGTGGATGAGCGAGATCCCTATGATAATCACAGGCTCACGGGCAGCGATGATCTGGATTTGCCCTCTTTGGCCCCTTTGGAACTGCCCTCCTTCGATTATAGTCTCTTCACCAGCTCATCGGCTCCTTCTCTGGCCAGTTATGCCGGCATGGCCGAGAGCTTCCAGAAATAGGCTAAGAACAAGGATTTTCGGGCCTTTAAAATGTCACTGATTTTGTTTAATTTCGATCGGAAGATTGGAAGATCTCTTAAAATACAATGGCCTGTAGTTGAAATTTTATTACGCCATGAAAAAAGGCTTAACTCTAAACTTACTTTTAAGCCCTTTTATCTTTATAAAAATTTTCAATTGTAGTGCCTTCAGTTTAAAATTGTAATGACCCCTTTAAAAAGCTTTACTTTTAAAATACTTAATCTGAATGACTGCGTTTACATAGTAATTGACTTGCAAGACCTGCTATTGGTTTTAATTTCAGTTTTTTCAAGATCAGTTTCCTTTTAACTGTAAAGGACCAGAGCAGTAAAGACTAGACTAAGAAAATAAAATCCCAAGTCCGCAAATTCGTCACAATGACATAAATAAGTAAGTATCTCCAACTTTTGTAAACTATAATCTTAGTCATGTTTTTAATATTTTAAGCGACATTTGCTATGAAAAAGTCCCATAAAAATGTACCGAAATCTTTGAAGCTTAAGCCCAGACCCTGCCCTATAATAATGAAAAATAGGAGGTATTTTGTAGTTATATAATCTATCTTATTTATTTGGCCATCAGACCCTTTAGCAGGTCGTCCATGTCCGTTTCAGTTTCGACATTCTTGAGTAGCAGCAGAACCTGCGCCTCCATTTCGCAGAGAATGGCTGGTTTTTGGTAGGTTATAATCAGGGTGTTGAACTGATGATGAACGGAGAGGCTTTCCTGTGAGGGCTTTATCCCACAGCGATCCAAGTCGGGAATCTGGATGACCTTGTAGTACTTCTTGTTCGAGGTGCGCACTATGATGGCCCGCTTTTCGGGATCGGCGGTTACATTGTAGATATCCAGGGCAAATGGCATATTACGTATACGCCACTCGATATTCTTCTTGGTAATCCTCTTAGTTAGCAGAGGAGCGGTGTTACTTTCCCGTAGAGTGAAATCTCCGCCGGATAGGGAATCATCATCGTCACCAGATCCTTGGGGTTTGTTTCCAGACCAATTCAATTGACGTGGCTCCTCACCCAACTCGATTTCCCACTCCGATTCGCCCATTATCTTGTTGCTTTTGGATTTCCAGGCCCTGCGTTGTACGATCCCAGTTTCCATGTTGTATTCCTCGGCCATTTGCCTTCCGTCCGGAAATTTATAGAGCACCTTGCGTGCCCTACCACTAATCATCGAGTTCTTCTCCGCCGATTGCAGGTAATTCAGCCAGTTTTGGTAGGACATCTCGAAAGTTATGGAAGATTACGTATTTATCTTTGAGCAATCGAAAATAACTGAATCTAAGGAGAGAATTTGATCGATGGCGCTGAAGTTGAAAATTTGTTGAAAAGCACATTTCGTTGGAAACCTGGCAACCCAGCTGACCAGTTTGTTTACATCGCAAACAGGGCTGCCAACGCGTGTGAGGATTTAAGACATTTGGTTTTATTTTTAAATTAGCTGTTATTATTTTTTCGTAAAACCTTTTAAAATTTTTGTTGTTTTAAGTTTCAACTGTTTTTATTTTATACAAACTGATAACTAATATATTAAGATATATCATTAGTGTTCTGTGGCATTAGACAAGATTTTTTTTTTTAAATATCCTACTTAGAATAAAGACTTGATCACTTCAAAAGTTAAAAAAACAATTAACAATTAAGCAATTAAAAAAAGTTATCTTGAGTAGACACAAATGAGTATTTATGAATCTCGTTGTTTTTATAGATTTAATAGACTTAATAGGTATCAAAATAGAATTGATAAATTGGCTTATGCTGAACTATTTTCTTTACAGTTAAATCTTACAAAAAAAAAACAGAGAGAAAAAAATATCATTTTTAAATATATAAAAAGAAATCTTAAATAGACTTTATAGGTAAACAAAATGTGTTAATTAATAAATCTATTTTTCTAGCTGCTTTTATGGCTTTTTTTCTGGCTGTTTTATTTACAGTAAATTCCCTAGCACAAGTTGGCAGCTCTGATTGTACACAAAAAAACAGAGTTGACGTGGCCACCGCGGTGACTACATAAAATATTCGCATATTTCATCACGGCATCTATTTAATTATTGCTATTTAAAGTAAGCAGCCGCACGTACTCCGGCCGTAGTCTAAAAATAGAATCCCACGGAATCCGTAGAACTAACAGCTAATCTGGGAATACATTTTTCCTTGCAGACAGCAGTCGACGAAAAAAAAGAGTGAAAATCGAAGCCAACGAATTAATTCAAAAAGCATTTAAAAATGAGTTTGGTGTGGACTTTGATCGCTGGGTTTCTCTATGCAGAAATAGCCTTTGTCCTTTTGCTCGTACTTCCAATTGCAAGTCCTTACCGATGGAACCGGCTCTTCAAATCCAAGTTTCTGGCCATGTTGGGCCAACAGGCGCACATATATTTCGTCCTGATCTTGGGAGTCCTAATCCTGTTCCTACTGGAGTCCATTCGCGAAATGCGAAAGTATTCCAATTTCGAGCAGACCGGTGAAGTGCATTTGAATGTGGAAATGCAGCACAGCATGAAGTTGTTCCGCGCTCAGAGAAATTTCTACATTTGCGGATTCTCCGTGTTCCTCGTCCTGGTCATCCGGAAACTGGTGACCTTGGTGTCGGCACAGGCGAATCTCTTGGCCCAAAGTGAGGCCTCCTTGAAGCAGGCCCAAAGTGCCACCGCAGCCGCAAGATCTCTGATGGAGGACAAGAAGACCGAGAAGGCCAAGGAAGCTGGCGAGGATACCACACTGATTGAGGTAAGTTTGTCCATTATTATGGCTCACATCCTGCATCACCAGATCCCCAGGACTAATGGCATGTCTAGAGAGCTAACACCTAAGACTTTGGAGTTACATTGGCTACTACCAGCTGTAAAAATATGGCAATGCATATAAGAAGGTGTGGTCAAAAAATAGGGTAGTCAATAGAGAGAAATCAGATCAAGCTAATTTTAATAGTATGGTAATCAGTATGGATAATCAGTATGGAGAAAACCATAAGATCAAATCCAATTTTCATATGATTATAATCACAAATTAAGGTTTCATATACCTATCTTATTACTTGCTTATTCTGCAATAATTTTTATTTTAAAGTACATGTTACATTATACCACAGGCACAAATTATGGTTACAATTTGTTATTATTTTAATTTCATCTATAATTCTTTTTTAGTTTCTTTGATTATTTATTTATATTTTGAAAATGAAGTTAAGAACTGGTGTCATAGATATCATAATTGTATTAGGGAGGTGATCTGAATATTTAGTTTTTCTTCTTCTAAGATATTATATGAAGTCAAATAAACGTAAAAATAAATATCATGTTAATAAAAGTAGATTTAGAGAGACAATTTAAAAGCATAGCTTAATCTTAAACTAAAAGCAGCGTGGAGACTGCAAAATAGTACACAGTTTTCACAGTTGTTCTAAACTTTTAAAGTGAAAATTGTGATAGGATTACTGCTATTATTTTGACCGCAGCTGAACGTTTTGAAATCACACCCAAACACAAAAGTTGGGCTATGAAATACCGCAGCCACTTACTCGAAAGATAAATCCTCTTGTTAACTCTTTAAACAGCTGTCAAGACTGCGGAGACGTGTGCAAGGACTCACCGCCCGAGTGTCCTAAGTATCCCCCATCTACAGTACCCACCTCACAACCATTCCCATTCGAATCCGAAAAACCCAATCGAAACTTAAACCGAAATCGTTTTTGCAGCTCAACAAGCTGCGCGAACGCGTCCAGGAGCTCACCTCCGATCTGAATCGCGAGAAGAAGGACAAGGAGGCGGTTAAGTCCCAGGCGGAGAGCCTCAACCGCGAATACGACCGACTCACCGAGGAGTACAGCAAGTTGCAGAAGCAGATCACCATCGGTGGGGCCGGAAACAAGGATGATTAAGCCCTCGAAGAAGAGCGATGTCCAAAACATTTAAATAACGATAAGACTTATAAAAACATGGCGGTGGGGCAGCGAAAGCAGGCACATTTAAAAAAGATTATAAACGATTTTTAAAATCGATAAACAACAAGCACACACATCTTAATGTTAATCCTCATTCATATACACACAACTACACACGCCTATTGATAACGAATGGGGCTTATTGATAGTGGTCTCCCCTTTGCGTTTGTTTTGCCCGAAAATTCTTTGTATTTAATTCCTATGTGTTAAGTTTTGTTTGCCACAGTAACACACCCAAAAAGCGTCGTGGCTATTAAAAGAACAACCATAAAGTACTCCTCCAGTTTTGGTAGATTCGATGATTCATCTTTGGGCTGATAGTCCACATCATGTCGTATTGGTATCGCTGGTTTATTCATTTTAATGACGTCAAGCGGCAACCTGTTTGTCCAGCTGGCGATCAATGTTCGCTCGGAAATCGGAAGTATATTGCACATTTTTTGTTGAAAATTAGTTCAACAAATGAAATGATAATAAGGCATCTTATCTAGGCATAGTTATATTTAAAGTATATACAATTTGGTTTTATATGCCAAATCTAAATCTGTATCCGGGCATTCTAGTAGTAGTTTGTAGTAGGACTTTAATTTGGCTTATAAATATTATAAAAAAAAGTAATGTGGCTAAAAGTAGAACATTTCTACAATGAAAGTGATAAAGAGACAAGATATAATGCAAACAAATTAAGCTTTGTTACTGTTCTTGAACCTCTACTTTTTTCGGTTTAGACTAAAATTTATTTTTGCTGCTGTCTGTCATAGTCTAAAACAATATATTTCGAATCATGATATTATTTCAAATCATATATTTTGATTTATATATTTTTTATCATTTATTTCACAATATTACTCCCACCAAAAGCTGATAGAAAAACTGGGGGCCTCAGATCTCACGTAGTGCCACCATTTGGGTGGCATGTACAAACAGTCGCCAGGTTGAAGGAGCAACTCGTAGAACTTGACTTTTTCCAGCAGTGGATAGGTATCCAGATCCAAATGGGCAGCATCTATTCGAGAGGTATTGCTTAAAAATTCGCTTTCGTGGGGATATAGGTTGTCTGTATCAGAAGGAGCAGCTAGTATAATTCTTTTACAACCAAAAACTTGGCACAATAGATTGTGTTTGGGATCGTAGTGCATGGGTGATATGGTTCCCGCTGGTCCCAGCCACGCTTTGATGTCCACAGTTCCCGGAGGTTCCTCATTGCTTATGGAACAGTAGTCGGGAATGGATATATCTTTCTTGAGAGCTGGGATCTGGGAGAAGAGCTCGTGCTGGGCGAGATACTCAATCTCCTGATTGGATTTATCTCCTGCAAATTGCCTGCTCAGGAAATCGCGAATCTTCACAAGCTGCTGGGACCACTCTTCGCTGGCATAGTTGGATCCTATTTCGATGGGCACCGTGCGATTTCCGGCCACTTGGAGAAGGTAATTGAGATCCAACCATTTAGTCAAAGCAGGCCAATGTTTGATTGTGTTTAAAAGAAGCGTAGGTTGTCCTTTTTGAAAGCACTTTGCTTGGAATTCCTTTAAGCTGGGCGCTTCAAGTTGGGGTATATCACAGGTACAGGAAATTCGTTTTAGTGGTTCCAAAATGGGCAGAGTTCCGGAACTTCCCAATCCTTCCTTATCTAGGTAATCCATTAAGGCCGCTTTCAGTACACTCCAATCCTCCGTGCAACCCAAAAGTTGGGCCTCATCCAGGATCCCACTGCATAGCTCCTTTTGGGCAGGACTTGTGCTCTCCAGGAGTAGGAAAAAAATCTGCAAAAATCATTTTTAGTTGGTACACTTTGGGATAGATAAATCCCACCTTGAAATAACAACCTATGGCATATATCTTCCTTGTACTCAAAGGTACTTTGCTAAAGTGTCCTGTGTGAATGCGTTCCCAATTCCTGTCCACCAGGGCATCTATAAGGTATCTTGTCTCCTCTTCTTGGGAATCTCCGCTGGAATTTAGTTTCTCCGTGAAATCAATAGCCTTTTTGAGTATATAACGAGCCTCAATTTCATTTTGAACAACCCTTTCTATATCCACCCAACGGGGAAGCAATTTCGTCAGCTCCAAAAACTGAGGATCCATGGAATGCTTAAAATCTCTGGTTTGCTTACTATTTTGTTTACTAAGCCGCTGAGTTGCCAGATTTATTAAATCATTTATATATCGATAAGAAAGAAATAATAGTTTAATCGATGTTTAAAAGTTTTAAACATATATATACTGTTGCTGCAAAACATATATTTGGGCTAAATAAATTACTCATTTTCAACCTAATCTTTATTTAACTAAGTTATATCTTAATCTTAAATAAAATGTCTGTAATTTTTATAAATTTATTTCATTTCATTTCCATATATTACTTATTTTGTTATATAGACGTATAATAAATTCACAGCTTATCTCCAATATTGATTGATATTTCGAAATGGTGGTTTGGGGAAGTCTAGATAAAAATCTATAAATATTTTTGTAAGCGCCCTACATAGGCCTTCCAGTTTTACGATAATCAAATTTAATTTTTTAGTTTTTGGAATAATAAAATAAAATTTTTTTTTAAGAAAAATTAAATGTGATTTTGTATTGTGTATTTTTTTAACAACTTTTATTTTTTTTTAAGATTTTAAGATAAGGTTTTTATATTTTTCTAGATATATTTTTGAGTATTATTCCTTTAATTTTATTTATTGTTGGAAACCAGATATTTTAAATGATCAGTGATCAGTGAACAGCGTCTGTTGAATTTGAATAGTGAATTGAATTCGAAGCTAATTACTACCACTCCGAGGGCTTTGAATTAGTGGTTGGGAGCAACTCGTCGAGACTGGTTCTGCGACAGGTGACTGCGGAATAAATAATAAAATAAAAGCAAATTCAATTGTGTGTGTTTTTGCGCGGATAAACAACCTGCGCATATGTACAAGTAAAGCAAAACATTGCTCAAATATTTGAAAACAATCAGGTGTGCCTTTTTTGTATTTCTACTAATTTCGGTTTGCTTTCGGTTAAAAATTGTATTCATTTTGGGACTTTTCTAAATTAAAATGTTATTTGGTTTAATAAAATGTGGCAAAAGTTTGGTACAAAACAAAATCATTTACCAGCAAACAAAATTAATAGTAAATGTTTTGGGTTGATAAGAAAAAACCATCATTCAATTAGTTAATAACGCAAATAATTTAATTGAAATTTACTAATAAATATGTCAGGTGTTGTAAGGGCTACTAAGTTAATAAATAAAATCATTTTTGGATGTATGTAATAAGTAGAAAAAATTTAATTTGAAAAGTGCAAAGAGAAGGAAATCATAAATTATATAGTGTGGAACTATAGTGCACAAAATAGTTCCTACAATAATAAACTTTTTAAGCAATAATGAAATTTAACAATATTCATTTATATATACTTAAATTTCATTTGTATTTTCTTTAGAGAAAACTTAATGTGTTTCAGTCTGAAATAAGTAAATTATGTAGCAACCAGCAGATAATCAAAAGTATTTAAACCTCTTAAAAAGAATGAATGGATTTATAAGTAATTATGAATTATTTAGTTTGAAATTAAACACATACAACCAGTAATATCTCTATATGATCAACATATTTAACTTACAAGCAGCCTACTGAACTCATAAGTAGTTGTAATCCAGTGAGATCTTTACAAACCGGTACTTGGGTTTATTTAAACGATTTCTGGGTTCGCTGGGCGTTCGCATATAAGGTTGCTTATCAGTTTGCCTCCGACGCTCGACGACTTCACACGCTTTTGGTTTCGGTTTTAGTTCTCGTTTCGTTTTCGTTTTCGGTTTTTTGCATTGAGTAAATAACATTTATTTGACCGCCAAGGTGATTAGAGGCGTCTGTGACGGAGCCGGCGACCTGGAAATGTCATCCGGACCGTACTTTGTGGGCGTCGATGTGGGCACGGGCAGTGCAAGGGCCGCCCTGGTGGCCGCCGATGGGCGTGTCCTCGAGCAGGCGGTGCAGGCCATCAAAACCTGGAACCCAGAGCCGCACTACTACAACCAATCCTCCGATAATATCTGGCAATCCATCTGCCAGGTGGTAAAGGCAAGTTTTAGGGGCTCTTAAAATCTTTTCAAGATCGATTTCAAAGTTTTTTCAATTTCACAAAATCAACTAAATGAATCAAAAATCAACTTGATTGAAACAAAATATGGAATCAATAGGAAAAAAAAAACAAAAATCTTTACAACTAAATATATAAATTGATCTTATTCACAGTCTACTTATCTTAATTTGATTTATAAAACATTATGTTAAAAATCCCATCCAACAGGTTAAAATTAAAGGCGATTTTAAGTTAAATAAAAGCCCTTTTTACAACAAAATAAAAATTGATCTTACAAACTTGTTGATAAATAATGATAAAACTAAAAAAAAAAAAACTATCTTAGTATTGATTAATTCTTAATTAATAGCATGAAAAAAACTAAACATAAGTTATTAAGGAAAATTATGATTGATTCAAAATTATGATCCATAGACAGATAGAAGCATAAAAATGATCTTATAATTTTTTTCCGTGCGATAACCTCTGTCGTTCGGCGACGAATCTCGTGTAGATTAGATTAACCCAGTTTGCTGATTTTACAGAAAGTCATTGACGGCGTCGATAAGTCGGAAGTGAAGGGCATTGGCTTTGATGCCACCTGCTCCTTGGTGGTTCTGGGTGCCCAAGGATCGCCGCTGAGTGTGAGCAAAACCGGTGAGGCGGAGCAGAACATAATCCTCTGGATGGATCATCGAGCGAAGCAGGAAACGCAGGAGATAAATTCGTTTAAGCATCCGCTTCTGAAATATGTGGGCGGTCAGGTTTCCCTGGAGATGGAAGTGCCAAAATTGCTCTGGCTGAAGAGGAATCTTTCGAAGACATTCACAAATATATGGAGAGTTTTCGATCTGCCTGATTTTTTGACCTGGCGAGCAACTGGTGTGGATACGCGATCGCTTTGCTCAGTGGTCTGCAAATGGAACTACGATGCAGCGAGTGAGAGTTGGAACAAGCAGTTTCTCGAGCAGGCAGATTTGGAGGAGTTGACCCGGAATAACTTCGAGAAACTGGGCAGTGATGTCCAGCCGCCGGGCAGAAAAGTGGGCAAAGGACTTACGGCCAAGGCAGCCGGGGAATTGGGATTGCCAGTAGGAACTGTGGTCAGCACTTCCTTAATTGATGCCCATGCCGGCGCCTTGGGAATGTTTGGTTGTCGATCAAAAGAATCCAAGGACGACGATGTCCAGGGCAAAATGGCTTTGATTGCCGGCACTTCCACCTGCCACATGAGCATCACCAGAAAGGCCTGTTTCGCCCATGGCGTTTGGGGTCCATACCAGGATGCCATTATACCTGGCTATTTCCTTAACGAAGGCGGTCAGAGTATTGCAGGTCACCTCTTGGATCACGTCATTAAGTCCCATGAATCCTACGCTGAATTGAAGTCAACACTGGGGGAGGATAAGTTTATCTATCAGCATCTCAATAAGTTACTCACGAAGTTGGCGGCTGACCGAGGACTCGATCAGGTGAACTGTCTTACCCAGGATTTGCATGTCTGGCCGGATTTTCATGGCAATCGATCGCCCATCGCAGATCCCACGCTGCGAGGAATGGTAAGTGGCCAAGTCCATTCGCTTTTTGATCATTAGCTTACGCAGAAATTGATTTTTTTCAAGATCTCTGGCTTGGACATGACGCGTGGAATTGAATCTCTGGCCATTAGATACTTGGCTTTCGTTCAAGCTCTGGCTGTAAGTTATAGTTTATATATTCTAATAGTTAATAATAACTAAGAATTATGTCAATATATTACTAAGAAACATAACCACCAAATCATTACGCGAATTCTTAAGCTTATTTGGAACCTTTCACGACGAGCATGTGTTAGTCTTATAAATTTACACATATTTACATTTTGTAACTGATTTAAAAACAAAAACGCGAATTTTAAAGCTCATTTAGAACCTTTCATGACCTACATTTCTTTGCTTGATAATTTTACACATTTCTGCTATGATATGATATTATAGTTGCTTGCTAACAATAAAATCATAAACGCGAATTCTTAAGCTCGATTGAAATATGGCATGACGTGAAAGTATTTTGTGTTACAAATTCCCAGACATCTGTAAATACGTTTTAAAAATCAAATACGCGAATGCTTAAGCTCAACTTGAACCTTTTATGACGTGTATTTACTTATGTATATGTTAATTTTCTGCTAAATGATATGAAAAAAATCAAAAACGCGAATTCTTAGGCTCAATTGAAATATTTCAAGAAGTGCATTGCACACACAACTGCACACTTGTCGTTTGTGACTGTCTTAAATATAGAATATTCGTTTTTTTATTCGTTAAATTTTTAATGGTTTTCAGTATGGAACTCGTCACATTATCGAGAACCTATATCAGTACGGCAGAGCGCCCTTCCAAACGCTCCTTTTCTGCGGTGGACTGGCCAAGAATCCTTTGTACGTGCAATGCCATGCGGATATCTGCAATCTGCCCACCTTAATTCCGGACGAACAGGAAATGGTTCTGGTAGGAGCTGCTGCATTGGGAGCAGCTGCATCGGGACACTTTGACAGCTTGGAGGTGGGCTTACAGAAATACTAATATAAATTCCAACTAACTTTTTGTGCTTTTGTAGAGCGCCTCAAAGGCTATGGGTGGCACAGGCCAACTGGTCAAGCCAAACTCAGAAACCTTGGAGTTTCACAACCGCAAATACAAGGTGTTCCTACAGCTGCTGAAGAACCAACGCCAATATAGGAGCATTATGCAAGGAGACACTGAATAGATTTCCCTTTTCGTTGTCTTGAACTTTAAATAATTTGAAAATAAATGCCTTTACATTAGCATTGTAACAAAATAATGGGTTGGCGCACACAGGTACAAGGTGATCTTGTTTGGCATTCGATTGGTTTCTAGGCGATGAAGGCGGCTGCTTTGGAGGTGATATTTGCACGACAAACGGGGCAGGTAATAGATATTTTTTGGGCGCAGTCCTCACAGAGACAGACATGACCACACGGCAGTAGGATGATCTAAAAGCAAATAAGTGGTGATTAGCTAATGAAAAATTATAGGTTTAGTACTTCCACACAATGTCTGGCATATTGTAAAACTTATATATAACTACTTTATAAAATTGTATTCAACTTAAATAAATTATACAGTTTAAGGCAGATTATGTTGTATGAAGGTTAAAGTTTTGTATATAACATTTTCGGCAGCGAATTCGTATATAAACCTAATGATATTCACCTCTTTTGGATTGGTGGAGCACACCACACAAAGCTGATCCTGTGACAAAGTGTGAGGACGACTCCTCGCCCGTCGTTCCCTTCGCTCCGTCTCCAGACGATTGCGTATTTTGGCCTCCTCCCGTTCCTGTTTCCTCCTGCGATAGATCTTCTTGGCAATGAATCCAATCAGGACAACCGAAATGGTGCCACAAATTACAAGTTTAAATCTGTAAAGTGTTAGTATTTTAAAAACTATATACCCAAAGGGAATTTTACCCACATGGAGGCTGCCTTGGCATCTTCAAACCGCTTGATGAGCGTGGACTTGGTGGCGGTGGTCAGGAAAAGAGGTCCCTCCCGCGAAGGCTGCATCCTGAGGGTGTTGCCATCCAATTCCAGCTCTCCGATGGCGGTAAGGAAACTGCCTTCCCTGAGCACCTCCTCGGTGGTCTGCAGACCCCTCTGACGAACGCCAGAGAAGAAACCAAAGATATGATCGAAGAGGGACAAACTGGAGGGTTCATAGTTATCGTAGACCATGTCCACATCCAAGACGGCTGCACTCAAGGCATCCACAATCTCCACTCCGTGCTGTTGGTTGCGTAACTCGAAGGGCATCTCGTTGGCGGATTCATGGAGCAGCTTATGGTGCTCCGTCCAGAAGCCGGCGAATCCCCGCGTGATCCTGTGCTCATGCAGCTTCACTATTTGGAGCACCCCACTTACACTGGGCACCAGAGAACTTCGCAACGGAACGCCAATGGGTGTGACTGTGCCGCGAATAACCGCATATGGTATCTTCTTGTCGTGCTGCTGATCCACCACCGATTTTAGCTGCCCATCTATATTATATTGCGGTGCGGTCTGCAAATCGAATAGGTAAAATCCCATATCAATTATCAAGTATACGCACCTTTAGCACTTGGGCGGTACGCTTATAGGTCACATATTCCCGCGCGCATAGGCCTAATATTAATAAATCCACGCCCAGTGCAATAGATTCGTGTAGAAATTCCATATTTTGATTTGTTTTTATTGTTTTTGTTTTACCCACAGACCATATGTATTTTTAGTGTGACTGTGTTTGAGTTAGCGCTATTTGGATGTGATAACGCGTTTTCAACACTGTTTTGTTGACCGTTATTTAGGGAACTAGTTCATATGGTATTATACTGAATATTATACTGAAGAATTTAAATTCATAATAGTTATGTTTTGCAAAGGGGAACGGATGCAAAATAAATTAAATTTCGTTATTTGTTATTATTTATTTGTTATTAATTATATTAATAAAACGAGTATACAATTCCGGAAAAAAATCAAACTTTAAAATGTACTGAAATAGTTTTTATTATTATTTATTTATTTAAAATAAATTAAAATCTTGAGTATTGAAGTATTTTGCAGAGAGAAGAACAGCATTTGTCAAGGTTAAAGATCTTTAAATGTTATATTTTTTTTAAACATCATTATATGAGAAAAGAAACAAGATGATTAATTTGATGATCTGATTTCTAGGCAATGAACGCGGCTGCCTTAGATTCAATATTACAACGACAAACTGGACAGCTGATGGAGATCATCTGGGAGCAATTCTCGCAAAGGCAGACATGACCACAAGGCAGTAGAATGATCTAAGGGACATAATAGGGTTATTATCTATTAAGTGATTTTAACATGGTTTATATAAAGAAAAATATAAATATGTTTTTTTTTAAGTTTTATAAATGGCCTGAAACCTACTTCTTTGGCATTTGTGCCGCACACTACACAAAGCTGATCCTTGTTCAGACTGACAGGACCAACCAAATTTCGTTCCCTCTCTAGGCGATTGTGTATTTTGCACTCCTCTATCTTCTTTTTATTCCTCTTGTAAATCTTGCTAGCAATAAAAGCAATTAGAAGGGCAGAGATGGTTCCGCACACGAAGAGCTTGATACTGAAAAAGATTTATAGCGGATATATAGAAAGAGCCTTTTTAAACCACCCACATAATTTCTCTATTCGCTTTTTCTAATCGCTTTACAATCGTGAATTTGCTGGCTGTTGTCAAGAGGAGAGGTCCTTTCTGGGAAGGTTGCATCCTCAAAGTGTTACCATCCAATTCCAATTCTCCAATGGCGGTGAGAAATCTTCCGTCCCTCAAAAGCTCTTCGGTGGTTTGAAAACCTCTTTGGGGAACACCGGAAAAGAAGCCACAAATGCGATCAAAGATCGAAACCGAAGATCGTTCAATATTATCATAGACCATGTCCACATCCCAAAATGATGTTCCCAAAGCATCCACGATTTGCACTCCATTTTGCTGATTTCGTAGTTCAAAAGGCATATCCTTTGCGGATTCATGGAGCAAGATGTGATTTTTCCTCCACAATCCAGTAATTCCCCGGATAATCCTGTGCTCATGCAGCTTAACTATTTGAAGGACTCCATTTGCACTTGGAACCTTGGAATTTTGGGGTGGTCTTGGATCTCCAATGGGGGAAACCATTCCCCGAATTACAGCATAAGGTACCTTTCCTCCAGGTTGCTTCTCCACCAACGATTTTAGCTGCCCATCGATGTTGTATTGAGGAGCAGTCTGCTAAATAAGTCATTACGATAAATTGTTTATAAAATGTTAAGTATACGCACCCTTAGCAGCTGCAATGTTCGCTTGCAGTTTACATACTCGCGTACACAAAATCCTAGTAATATCAAATCTACACCAACTGCAACGCAGTCGTTAAAGAACTCCATGTCTTGATTTTTGGAGTTTTGCGTTAAGTTTTTTAATAATTTTGACTCGCATTTTATGGGGTACTGGGTTGTATGAAATATCAAAAAAGATATGAGCACAGTTTAAAAAAATAACTGGAAGTTTAGTTTAACAAAGTGTGTTTTGAAATTAAACTGCTGTAACTATATACTCAATACGCAAGATTATATCCCCTATACTTTTTAGATTCGTTTCTGTACTGAATAGTCTAAGGACCTTTTTTTTAACCACATATACTTATCTTATTAGGAAATTTTTCAATCCCAATTCTTTAAAATTTCATGTAACAACAGTTCAGTCTTTATGACCCTTTTTTTGGGGTATAAAACACAAAATCAACAAATATTATAAATTTTTAAACTTTAATTTGAGTATTAATCACTGTTTTCTATTAAAAACAAAGTCATTTATAAGGTAATATCTTAAAAAGCTAAGATCAAATTGTGCAGTTTTCATGGCTTGCCAATGATGTTGTCGATGGTAAATAGTGTGGTCTTTGACCGATTGTTTGCCATTGTTGATGATGAGTTGCTTGAATCCTGAATGCCTCGAAAAGAATCATTAGGGACTGGCGCACCCGAAGAATTCATTTCCCGACGATTGAGTGGCGGAGTAAAGGCGCTCGGAGAATGCAAATCCTCATGAAGTGAGGCACTATCCACAGGATTCGGAGCTGTTTTACTGGAACTAGAGGAGGCGTCCACATCATCTGGAGATTCTCTGATCTCGGGCAGCGATGAACTTGATATGGCTCGCATTCCTCTGGCATCGTTGTTAAAAAGACTGTTGAAACCCAGAGATACGGACAAATACTGCCTGTGTAAGTCAGTAATCCTATCCGAATAATTGGGTCTCTCGTTGCAGAAGATGTCGAAATCATTCAGCGGTTCGCTGGGTAAACGAATATCTGCGGTAGCATTGCTGCCATCACTGGAATCCTGAAAGAAAATATGTTTTTAAATATTTTATAAATATTTTTTATAGTTTTAGTTAGTTTAATTACCTTTCCTGACTCTCTTTCGTAGCGATTTGAGTTGGCGCAATGTCTTTGTCTGCGGGTTCTTCTTCGCCGGTAGTTTCCCTGCTCGAACATATCCGATGCCGAGGAGTCCAACATCCAGTAGCTTCCCTTGCCAGCACTATCATTGTCCTCGATCGTGTTCTTATCCCGAGGCACCTTCACAAAGCAGTCATTCAGGGACAAATTGTGCCGAATTGAGTTCTGCCAGCCCTGTTTGTTTTCCCTATAATAAGGGAATCTAAAAAATAATCGATATTGATGGTTAGTTACTGGAGTTCTCTCTAATTTAATATCTTAGGAAATTTATATACCATTTTCTAATTCTTATACATAAAATATCTCGTTGTTTGTTTGCATTTTGGTTAGCTTTATTAAAACAAATTTCAAAAGCCTACAAATAATGTTTATAAAACAATTAAAAAAGAAAAAAAAGGACATAACAAAAAATACTATATTTATTTATTTTATAGTCATGCCGATGAGTCGGTAAATGTTATTTGTATAACTAGAAAATATTTACATTTACAAAATTAGAATGTAACACATTTTTCTATATATATATATTACATAGCAAAACATTTTTTTGAATTGATACACATCGTATTAGCCAATGTCTATGATTCCCATTTAGTTTGTTTAAGCCAAACGATTTGCAAAAGCAATAAAAATAATATTTGTTTATGTTGATAAAGAAATCGGAAAAATTTGGTTTATAAACACATGAAGTCATTGTTCTCCTTCTTGTATTTTCAATTATTAGCGCTTCATTTTAAATATTTCTCCGCCATTTTCAAGAAATTGTGTTTATATAGGAAAAGAAACCATCCGAAAGAAGATATGTATAGTATGCAAGATATACCTACGCAAAAGACATAAAATTAAATATTTTAAAAAAATATAACCATATACATAAGCCAAGAAATGGGACCATTTTTTAATGGAACAAATAAATGACCAAGTAATCCTTGATATTTATATATTTTTCACGTTGAAAGAAATAAATTTACGCTCAATATTTCAATGATATTAATCTCAGTTTTGGCAAATGTAGCGACAACTGTTTTAAAATGCGTCTTGGGATAAAATTTGTTTCAGTTAAAATAGATATTCGGAATGCTGCGATTTTTTATTTTGGCATTTGATTTAGTCAAGGCTGTCATCTAAATTAACTTGATTTTCGTCATGGGGACTAAAAAATTCAAAATGCAGGGAAAATTAAGTTGACACTTTTGGGAAATAGACAAATAGTAAATCTTTAAAAAAATTAATTAGTATACGATCCTTAAAAGAAAATAGTAATAATAATTGCTTCGAATTGTGCATTATAAACTTGTAGATTGTAATGGGAGTTAATTGCTGGTTAATTGCTGGTTAATTGCAGGTTAATTAAAAAATATTTAAGTTTTAAAAAACAAATACCCGCTTTTATAAAAAAAAGGACTTAAATTATAAAAACAATGACTAACTCTCAAATAACGATATAACTTACTTGTCCATTATAAACTTGTAGATTCCACTGAGAGTTAATCGCTGGTTAGGAGCACTACTTATGGCCATGGCAATAAGTGCAATATAGGAAAACGGCGGTTTTTCCGGTCGATGTGAGTTATGCAGGAAGGATATGGGCAAACCCCAGATATTATTGTGCAAGGCCAGGAAATTATCAATTCCCTGGTAGTAAAAAGCTGGAGATAACGATCCGCACATCAAACTTTCCATTCCGACGGCATTTGGAGCCAATGGATTTGGGGAAACTTGAGCTCTGAGATATTCGGGATTTGAAAGCAGGGAATTAAGAAGCTCGTCATTTTCCGGCAGACCCGATCCATTGGCATAGCAAGATGGTAACATTTTCTTATGGTTTTCTTTTGTATTTAATTCGAATTAAGGATTTGACTATGTTTTATTTTCAGAAAACCTTTTTTCAAACTTTGTTTTTTTCACTTCACTTAATTTTCTTTGATCTCATGGGGCTTATGTTTCCCGGGAAGATATAACATCCGAAGTTATTGGAGATACGTGCGCGACTATTTGGCTAACCGTTGCGTCAGCCAAGAAGTCCGATCGACTAATGAATGGACTCGGATACGCAGATCACTTGTAATGCCTCATCCAGTACTCATGTGCATGTGTTTTTTGGGGAGAGCAGCGTATTGGTCTATAAATACAGAGATATACGAACACCCTCAACAAAAGATCCACACATGTTTGAGTTTTCAGAGAGAGAAAAATAATTTGTTTCTGCGAAAACAAATAAAACATATTCTTTAAATATATAAATTTTAAGCTAGGGTTACTATTTTTCCTAAGACAAATGATGATCTTATATATAATTTAAATTATTTATTTGCTTTTTTTTATAAATTTCTTGTTCAATTATTTAAATTTTTGATTAAGGACATCATCATTAATTTGATATCCTGGATTATAATAGTATTTATCCAGTTATCCCCGAAATATAGTCTTTTTTTTTTGAGGGGGCGTTGCTTACATATATATTCTCCACTCTCTCCATGTTTATTTATGTCCATATGCTCAGAGCGATATTCGATTTTCATTTGCCCGCCTTTCGGATGGGCGGAGTTAAAATATCTCTTTTGAATGTGTGTGTGAATGTTTGAGAGTTCCCAATGTGTTTTGAATAATATGTGAATTTGATTTTTCAACAAATGAAAATCAAGCAAAGTTTACACATGAACTATACGCATTTTTGCAGCCGATCTTTGAAGTGTTTTTAGGAGTTTTTGAAAATTTCAAACATATAGAAAGACTTTTAAGTCTCAGTCTTTTTCTTATACGAATTCAAGTATTTTTTTTTAGAGAAAACAAATTTAAACAATTTATAGTAAAGATTTGTTTATTTCTGCAAAGCTTAACATTTTTTTTACTAACCATTTTTATTTTGACGCCTTGCAATGGTTTTAAGCCTCTTAAGTGAATAGGAATTGAAAAGTTTAGATATCTCTTCTGTTCAATTGGTTTGTAAACATTATTAAAATATAGGAGTTCCAAGAAAAACTTCGTTTTAATATTATGCCGGATAACAGCTGCCGAAGATAATGCCAGAAGGTTTATCTTCTTGTAGTCCCTTGACATTGCTATCTCGTAGAATTTCCCTTCCGATTTTTACGACTTTTCCGAGCGAAAGAAAGCAAGAGTAAATGGTGCAGTCAAGTACGCAATTTTCCCTAAGCAACCAAAGTCTTGGTCTATATCTTAAAAGGTCGTAAAATAATTGTGTATACATTTCAAACAGGACTACGATCTACGGATTTTTACGATCGCTCCGTTCTCAAGTAGAAAGCAGAGATCATTTGAAAAAAATAAAAACATTGAACGCAAATCGAAAATACCAAATACCAAATACCATATAACGAAGCAATTGAAGTTCAGATATTCACATATGTGAAAGAAGATGCCAACAAAGGATTCTTCACGCTCTCTCCCGATTTATTCAAATTTTACGATCGCTTACCGCTGGTTGAAATGGGTCATAAAACAATGGGTTATCCTCTGGCCTCTGATCCTCTGATTTTCTCTGATGGCCACACATTCGAGAGATGTCGCTGCTTATTTTTAGACCTATGCTGGGAATAGTATTGGAAACAAATATTGTGTTTTTTATGGCTCAGCTCGGTTTGGTTTTTGGTCTAGAGCTCTAGAGCTCTGGAACTCAATTCTCAATGTTTTTCGTTGTGAAACAATGTTTTCTTTTGGATTCCCTATTCTTTTTGCCCTATCTGTCGCACTAAGCCATAAAACGCCTCAGATCTTGTTTATTTTAGTTGCCGCTCCCGACCGCAACTTAATCGCTGCCTGTAATTGCATAGTTATTGTTTAGAGCGTGACTACCGATGTTGTTTCCGTTGTCATCGCTTGATTTATGCTGCAAGTTCCCTGTTTTTTGGTTAAGACACACATGAATAATAATGCAGTGGAACTTCAGTACTTTAAACTCCGCTTTTCCCTTGTAATATAGTACCTAATTCTATTATTATTTTTCAACTTAAACTGATAATTCTTCTTTACATTTAATTGGAATATAATTTGTTTATTAAATTTGAATTTAATATTATATATGTTATGTTTTGTTCGTATAATTAATCTTTCGAATTTCTGGGTTTTCAACAAAACTATGACTAAATTTTTCAATTTTCAATGAAGTCAGTTTGCTGAAACACATATAAAAAGCAAAGATTATTTTAGCTAAATAATAAAATATAATAAACGAAATTCTTTATTCTTTAAATATAAGAAGTGTATATAACTTAGTTTTGTTATTATTAAAATTAAATATAAAGGTATTGTTCCTTAAAAAAACGAGTTAACCCCAAGGTAGACATTTTTTACCAATATTGGCTTAAAAGTTTATATTTTTTAAACGAGTTTTAGATAACAAAAAAAGTTAGTGATGTTTTTAAGTAAATTCTTTAGTTACGGCCTACAGAAGCTGTTTGTAGTGTAAGCTTTTATTTAAGTCCCACGAAAATGTTTCTTATAGAAGATTTACTGTATTAGCTTCGATTTAAAGCACACTTGAAGAAAAATATACTGTGGCTTGGCATCGTCACCTTGTCAAAATTTGATTTAATCACTCCACACTCGTTGTTCCAGAGATCAAAGACAACAAATCATCGATCAGCGGGATTTGTGGCTGTGCTCAACAAGCAGTGATTTGTCAAAATTCGATTGGGTCTACTGCCCCATGCCACATGCCACATGCCTTGTGCCCCATGCCCCATGAGTTCCCAGTTTATCGGGAGGCATTAACATGTAGTATAGGGCCTATTTATAGTGCGCCGTAAAATGCAGGGTGCCGTGTTTGACAACAAATAGCGTGGACCGCAGAGCAGCTCCCTCCGTTCCACATCATTGACAGCAAATTATCCACATTACCTGAATTGTCAGGAGCCGCTCGTTGCCCATTAGCCATTACGGCGGTGTGAACGTGACCTTTGCCGGCCATTAAATGGCACACTCAGCTCCAGCGTCCCGGAATCGGAAATTTATGCGATTCTTGACACTAGTTGCTCCTGGCTACTCCATCCTCCATTTCACCATCCTCGATGATAATGATGACTTTCGGAACGCCAAGAAGATTTCTGAAATGAAATGCGTGAGCAATAAACTGGTTGTTGACCTGTGACGACGGGAGTTTTCCTTCGTCCCTCGTTTTTTCCCTGTCTTATTTGTTGGTAACAGGTGTTGGACACACGAGTAATCGCCGCCATTTCGATTCAGCTGCTTGGCCAAAAGGGTTGGTGTTAATTAATGTCGGGTTTCAAGTCGATGGCGGTTAGCGAAAACCATAATTTATTTAGCCATTGAGTTTGCCGGCAAGTGCAATTGATTTGTGTTTGCGGAAACTTTTGTTTTTGCCAAAGGAGTCAAAGGTAATTGCCTGGTTTTTCCCTTTGAATCATTGAACATTCCACCAAGTTTTTATAAACAATTGGTTTTTAGAGAATGATGACAGAACTTAAAACAGATCTTTGTATTGAAATTTAACTACATTAAATATTAACCTATTTAATCCAAATTTGTTTCTATAACTTTCTTTAAAACAAGAAATACATATTTGAAGATATGTTTTAATTTCTATTTCTATTTCTTTTTCACTTTTTATCTATTTTTATATCATTTTTATCTTTTATCAAAAATATTCTTAATGTGTTTTTTCAGTTAGGCCAAACTCTAAGCGCATTAATTCTAAATAGCATCTAATGAACAGCATTATCTTCTGACGTTTTGTAAAACAGATGTTTGTTTTTAAAAGTAACTAACATAAGCAATAAGTCTATTGAAATCTGAATTATTTCTGTAACTTTCTTTAAAATAATGACTGCATATTCAAAGACTTTTTTTTGAATTACTTAAATAATCTTTGTAACTTCTATCTTTAAATAAATATTTTTAAATGTGTTTGCTTAGTTAGCGCATAAATGTATATACCTGTAGGGAAAACACAACGTAATAAGACTATAATCTTTTGTCTATTGCTTGAAAAGAATGTCTTAAATTATTAAAGTAAAAATTTAGTTTAAAACGAGTGTATATTATTTAATTTAATTTTTTTCTTAGCTTTGAAAGTTTAGCTATCTTTGATTCACTTGAAACTCGAATCATTTGCAGTATTTTCTTGCTGACAGCACCTCATTTGCACTTGAAAAACCTATAAATTGAGTGGTAACTTCGCCTTCTTCCCCGCTATTTGGCAGCTTCAAAAAGAGCAATCTATACACAAATCGGTATTGAGTGGCCCCCAAACCACGGGATTCTCATGGATTATTATTTCGTATTACTCATATTGATTTCCAGCCGCAAGAAAAGTTTTTCACGAAGGGGGGTTGGGTGGTGGGTGGATAGAAAATGGAGCTGAGCTGGGCGGATGTATTCGGAAAAACATAAACCAAGCACTCACATTGATTGCTTTTGCCGGCCGAAAATGAATCAAGTGGAAATGTGAATGTGAATGTGAATGAATTTCGCACGTTTTATAGTAAGTGCCAAATTATCGGCTACTCAACCGGCCAACGAAAAGGAATATCAAACAGTTTTGCTGCACAGGTTTAAAAACAATAAACTTTCAGCAGCAACAGCAATGCATGTTTGTTTATTTGTTTAAATTTAGAATATCGACCACATTAAAATAGCAACAGCTTTGAACTAAAAACCTCTCAAGTGGCCGGCGCGGGTCATTAAAAGAGATTTCCAAGATGTATTACGAGCGAAAGCCCCATTTTCACCGATATTTCCCCTTTTCAGTGTTTTCAGGGGCCCAGTGTGTTGTGGTTGCCATGATATTTTGTTGGTTGACCCCGCGGGTAATTTGCACTTCAAAGCGGGCCCCATGCAATCTGTGTTTATGCCATCAAGTGGGCCAGCTGGTGGCCCCCAAAAAACAAAGATCTATGGCATTTATGAGTAAGTGCGGTCTGGATGGGGATTCCTCGAGTTCTCGAGCTGTCGAGTTGTCGAGTTCTTGAGCTCTCGAGTTCTCGAGTGCCATGTGCTAATGAGCCGGCGATTCCCCCCTGATTATCACACATTAAGTGAAATAAGCTGTGGCAAGTCTGTCTACGCACCTGACACGATGCCACAATGGGCATTACCTTCGGTGTGCATTCTGATTCCGATTCTGATTCGGGGGCCTTCATCGATCCTTGTCGCCGGCATAAAGCAGCTGTCAAATCTCCAGTTGACAGCCACTTTCATTTCGATGCATTATTAAAATA